ATACCTTCTGGGGAATCGACGATTAATTGTCTGTGTTTTTTCCACCTCCTGAATGTCCTCCTCCAGGCGGGCTTCGGTCGAACAAAATCAAGCATTGTCACAACATGCTCCCAGAGAGTCAAGGATAATTGAAAAATCGTCCCTGGACTATTTTTTGACTAGTTTTGAAGATTCCTCCTGTAGAAGGACATGCCCGACGTAAGGGTAAGCGATCAGACACGTATCGATCGATACCCCTGCTGCGCGGACCTTTTCCGGGGTGTGTTTCGGCCAACTTTTCAAGGCGGACCCAGCCGTGGGTCCGAGGGAAGGGTAGCACTAGGTCAGGCGTGTTCTCCTACAGGCGGATTCCGGACGACAAATTAAAAAGTGAGCAAAACGTGGTCAAAACATACACAAGAATGCTCAGAAGCTCGTCCCCAGACTATTGTTCGACTATGTTTGAACACCCCTCTTGTAGAGGGAGAGGCCCGACTTACGGGTAGCAGTATGAACTCATGTTGTAAAATTCGCGATGCGGTCGGACCTAAGGTTAAGTCGGGCCTGTCCCCCTACAGCGGAATTCTCGACGAAAAATAAAACATACCCAAGAAATAGTCCAACAATAATCCAGAAATGGTCTGGGGACTAGTTTTTGCATATACTTTTTTGGCCTTTTGGTGGCATGTTTGGGGTATTCTTTATTTGTCGTCGAAAATCCCCCCTGTAGGGGGACGCGCCCGACGTAAACCTAGGGAAAGCCCTCCTTCTCAGGGGCGTGGGACCTCCGCCGGCCGAGCCGAGAGACATCCCAAGGTGCCCTCGCCCAGGATGCACGAGTCCATTTTCGGTCGGGCGTGTCCCCCCACAGGGGGGATTTTCGACGAAGAATAAAGAATACCCCAAACATGCCACCAAGAGGCCCAAAAAAAATGCAAAAACTAGTCCCCAGACCATTTCTGGATTATCTTAGGTCGGCCGTGTCCCCCTACAGGGGGGATTTTCGACGAAAAACAAAAAAAATACCCCAGAAGTGCCTCAAAGAGACCAACAGATACTCGAAAAATAGTCCCCCGACTATTTTGGGACAGATGTTTGCATATGTTTGGGGTATTTTGTTATCTTTCGTCGAAAATCCCCCTGTAGGGGGACAGTCGGGGCGCTGAAGAAGGAACCCTTTTCGTTTGGGAGGAGCTCGGTGTTCCTTGACTGTTTCAAAGTTTGCCGCAGGTTGTCCTTAGGTTTTCGATGGGACGTCGAAGTTTAACTTCTGGGGAGAAGGGGCCTCGTTCCTTATTTGGGGTTCCTTAGGTCAACGCCCCGACGGTACAGGGGGGATTTTCGACGAAAGACAGAAAATACCCCAGAAATGCCCCAAAGAGACCAAAAGATACTCCAAAAATAGTCCCCGGACTATGTTGGGACAGATGTCTGCCTATGTTTGGGGTATTTTGTTTTCTTTCGTCGAGAATCCCCCTGTAGGGGGACAGGCCCGACTTAAAACAAACACGAATCGGAGATGGACAGAACCCCCTTTAACGTGGCTCAGTGAAAACGACCTCGGGCCCAAACCTGGCGGGCGCAAGCCTGGAAAATGACGGCCGCGGCGCCCTCTCGAGAACCGAAAACGAACAATTCACTCATCGACGTGTCAGGGTGGGGTTCTGTCCGCCTCCGAACGGAGAGTAGGAGGGCACCCTCCCCGAACCAACCTCGATCTGATACCCTGGTCCCACTCCACGGCAAACTCGTGTCGTGCCGACTTCGGCGCTGGCTCCTGACACCGCGGGGACCGTTCAACCTTGAACGATCGGCCGCTTCCGCAACGTCCGATCGTTCATCGGGTCGGGCAAAAGGGGGGATAGCAAAGGGGGGGGTTTGAGAATCAGCTCACGTAGCTGATTTTCCTGGCGCCTCCCGGCGCCAGAGGCGCCCATGTATCGAGGAATGGGCCCCTCGGTGGGGCCGAAACCAGCTGCATGCAACAGATTTCGTAACCCCCCCTTTCCCCATCCCCCCCTTTCGCCCGGCCCGAGGGTCGGCGGCGGCGTTCGATGTTGAACGCCGGCGGCGGGGTCGCCGCCGGTCGACACGACGCGCACCTGCCGCAACGCCTGTGACCAGCCCCGACCCCGCCCCCCGCGGCCACGCCACGAGTCGCGCCGGCGCATGCGCCGGCGCCGTCTGGGGAGAAGCCATTCCTCGTAAACCTAAGTCGGGCCTGTCCCCCTACAGGGGGATGGTCGACGAAAAATGAATCATACCCCCAAAAATACCCCCAAAGGGTCAAAAAATACTCAAACTATTTCTTGACTATTATTGATAATTCCCCCTGTAGAGGGACAGGCCCGACTTAATCGTAAACACTCCCAGGCGGCGCCCCAGCGCGAGTCGCCACGTGACCGGCCCCCATCCCCCCCCGAGGGGCAAGGATAGGAGGAGACTGACATGAGGGGGGATGCATCGACCTGGAATCGGCGATACATCGCCGATAGATCGGCGATAGGCCCCCGATAGTGAATCCGCACCTTCCTGTGCAGGTTGGGGCTATCTGGCCCCTATCGGCGAACAATGGGCGACTCGGGGTCGATGCATCCCCCCCTGTGCCCATCCCACCCAATCGTTGCCCCTAATCCCCCCTCTCCCCCCATCCCTGCGGTCACGCCCGTTATCGCCAGGGTATATAAAAGCTGTCTCTCCCTTTCGAGGCGTATCCAGCAGTGGCGACGAGGGAAGTTGATTGGCTGCTGTACAGGTATAGCTTCCTCCTCGGAGCCTTGTCCATATGTGTTCGTAACGCTATTACTGATACGAACTTCTGGTCGAAACCAACAGATGCGCAAAGACAATGTTTGACGTCCTGTGTGTGAGGAAGAATGTGCGGCAGGTTCGTGTTGACCCAGGCGTTGGTTCCTGACACCGCGGGAATCGCTCAACCTCGAACGATCGGCCGCTTCCGAAACGTCCGAATCGTTCCACATCGAACGATTCTGGGTCGCCCGCGGCGTTCAACGTGGAACGCCGCTGGCGGGGTCGCCGCCAGTCGACACGACACAGAGCCTAGCGTAAACCGGAACACTAGTGCTGTAGCTGGCAATGCAAACACCAGTATCAGTGACACGCCGCCGTGGGAATCCATCGGCGTGGTGCTGTTGAGTAAGCACTTCGCCTCCGGACAAGAGGCAAAGAACGTGAGGGCACCACGCTGACGGGCCTCCGACGGCAGCGTGTCACTGATCCTCCACTTCCCTCCCGAAGCACGGTCCGCTTCAAGAAGGCTTCACTGTACGAGCGGGGCCGGCACCCAGAACCTTTACCTCTCTTAAGTCTTGGGAGAGCGGCGCACCGCTCGCACAGTGCTCGCGCCGAGTGCTCGCGGAAGGGACCCGTGGGCGGCGGCTCCGCTCGGGGGGGCGGCCGGTGGCGGCGGGCCCTGTCTGGCCACGATCTCCGCGCGCTTCCCGGCGGGAAGCCCGTCCTGGGGCTGCAGGGCCTCCTGAGGGTCGCCCGGCGCTCTGGGCACCGCGCTGCCACCACCCCCCCGTCTGCCGCGGCTGCTCCTGCTGCTGCTGCTCCTCCTCCGCCGCCTCAACCCCCGCCTGCTTCCTCCCCGGCTCTCCTCCTCCCTCCTGTCCTCTCGCCATCCCTCCTCCCTCCTCTCTGCCTACGCCTTCCCATTCATCCTCGTGCTTCTGCCCCAATCCTCGTCCTCCCTCCTCCCTCCTCCCTCCTCCCTCCTCCCTCCTCCCTCCTCCCTCCTCCCTCCTCCCTCCTCCTCCTTCCTCCTCCTCCTCCTACCTCCTCCTCCTCCTCCTCCTCATCATCATCATCATCATCATCATCATCATCATATCATCATCAATCATCATCATCATCATCATCATCATCATCATCATCATCGTCCATCATCATCATCATCATCATCATCATCATCATCATCATCATCATCATCATCATCATCATCATCATCATCATCATCATCATCATCATCATCATATCATCATCATCATCATCATCATCATCATCATCATCATCATCATCATCATCATCATCATCATCATCATCATCATCATCATCATCATCATCATCATCATCATCATCATCATCATCATCATCATCATCATCATCATCATCATCATCAACATCATCCCAATCATCATCATCAGCATCAGCAGCATCATCAACATCAACATCAACGTCGTCGTCGTCATCATCATCATCTTCATCATCAGCAACAGCATCAGCATCATCATCATCATCATCATCACCATCAGCATCATCAACATCATCCCCAGCATCATCAGCATCAGCATCATCATCGACGTCACCATCATCATCAAAAACATCATCATCAACATCATCATCACCATCATCGTCATCGTCATCGGCATCATCATGAACATCATAATCATCATCAGCAACATCATCACCACCACCACCACACACCATCACCATCACATCACCGTCACCCTCACCATCACCGTCACCATCATCATCACCATCACCAGCAGAATCATCACCATCATTATCATTATCATCATCATCATCATCATCATCATCATCATCATAATCATCATCATCATCATCAGCATCGTCATCATCATCACCACCACCATCACCACCACCACCAACATCATCACCATGATTATCGCTGAAGCTATCCACGCAAGGATTGTGTTGTGTCTCTGGCCAAGCGGGTCAGACTCGACAGAGCGGCATATGTGAACTCGACGGGAAGAGGCGGTACGGACGGCGAACACAGAAGAGACACAAACACACACACAACACAACACAACACAACACAACACAACACAACACGAGACAAAACATGGCGAAATGCGAGAAGAGAGAAAACAAAACCGGGCGGCAAGTGGGCAGGCTCGAAAATGGCTTGAGCCGAACGCCAGCGAAACAAGCGCGACCTTCATCGCCACCCGCAATTTTTGTTCCAGAATTGACCATCGCTACAGCTATCCAGGCCAGGCGGGGCCACGCTGGTCAGACTCGACAGGGCGGCATTCAGTGAGCTTGGCGGGGGGGAAAGGGACAGACGGCGAGCACAGAACAGACACAGACACTGACACAGACACAAACACATACACACACAAACACGCACACACAAACACACACACACTCACACACACACACACACACACACGCACACGAACACGCACACGCACACGCACACACACACTCACACACACAAACACACACACACACACAAACACACACACACACACGCACACACACACACACACGCACACCCACACACACACACACACACACGCACACACACATACACACACACACACACTTTTGGCGGTAGCGGCCTCGTGCGCAGCGACGAGGCGGAGAAAATGCAACAATCAGAACAGCGCTCGCGGCGTCCGGGCCCTCAACATCTCCTAGTATGCAAACCGACCTGCATCGGCCATCTGGGCACAGATGGCAGGCAGGGCACACGCAAGAGCTATGGGAAACACTCACCCCGGCCACAAGAGAGTTGCAGAACGCCATCAGCCGTCCGTGCGTGGACAGCGCGGAAAAAATTGCACACCAGTGAGGCTGCCCCACGGCGGCAAGAGGAACGCAACGACAGCGGCACACGACCGAGGACGTAGGAGAAGACTGCAGGGGAAGGCCCCGACGCACGCGCGAAGCAAAAAAGGAAAGAATGGAGGCAAGGCAGGAGGCGAAAGAGAGCGCAGGCAGAGTCGGGGAGACGTAAGACTCGGGTACGGGGGACTCTGGTTGGCCTGACGGGGCCATCATAAAAATGACGAGACACAATCTGAAATCTGATGCGAGCTCCCGCTGCAGACATCCCACGAAAACTGGGCCGTCAAAATCCAGGACGCGATCGTCAAAAAACATCGGCGAACCCGAGTTCCGGCTCACTCGAGTCTTACAGCGGGGGCCCGACCACAAAAAAACCTTCCACAAAAAGCCCAACCCGGAGACCCCAGGACGTCCGCTGACTTTTTGGTGCGGGAACGTCGCGCCTTCCACAGCAAAACCCCCGAAACCCAAGAAACCCAGGCCACCCTGAAGGCAAGCAGGGTACTTCCTGTCCATAGGGGACCACCTGCGTACCCTACCCCTGCCCCCCACGATCTCCGGAGGGGGAGGGTGGGGTTCACCAGACACCGTGGGGCGTAGGGGTAGCACGCGTGCCACTTGCACTTATGCTCATCAGTGTACGTATACGTGTACGTATATGTATATTCATACTTATAATGGAACCTATACGTTTACTTGTAATGTGGCTTACGTGTATACTTAAACTTATACGGAAGGTTATTATTCCACGCATACTCACACTTATAGTTGTAGACGTATACTTGTATTTTTCCGTGCACATATAGCTATACGTATTACTATAATTTTGAGTATACCTACCCTTCGACCGAAACTTATACGTCTACTTATACGTATTAATGTCCTTTTGGTTTCACTTCTACTTGGTCTAGGAGCACGTCTGATTATACGTTTGATGGTAATTATACGCGTGCGTATACTTAAGGTTTTACTTATATACGCATATATGCAAATTTATACTTTATACGTATACGTATACCTACACACATACATCAATGTATACTCACGCGTCCACATATACTTCTACGTAGACGCCTATTTCTAGCTATACGTATAGTTTACCTATAAGTATACGCAGGTACAGAAATAAGTACATGTATATATGATTATTACAATTATAAGTATACGCTACATTATACACATAAATTTAAAAATACGTATGAATGTACGTACACGCTTGCTTCTACTTATACTTGTCCGCGTGGTTATATTAATACGTATACTTGTACACAGACGTATCATTGTACGTATACTTATAATTCGAATTGAAATTGTCCGTCCGCTGCTCCTCACACATGTTAAAGTAAGAGTGGTACGTATACGTACGCTTATACATACAAGTATAATCATACGTAAACTCAAAATATCCGCCAGCGTTGGCTCCAAATAGAGTAGACGACTCAAATCAAGGAATCAGGAGGACCGAACGGACTTGGAATACACAACTCAGCAAGCAAGCAAGCGCGCAAGCACGTGCGCAAGCAAGCAAGCAAGCAAGCAAGCGCGCAAGCGCGCAAGCAAGCAAGCAAGCAAGCAAGCAGACAAGCAATCTGCATAGGCATGAGCACACGCAAAGGCATAGGAGTTAGGGGGAGGCATACGCATAGGGACCAAGTCATAGGATTTGTATTAAGACCCCTACAGGGAAAGCCTACTTGGAGAATGGAGATGCGTGTTTATATGTATATATGTACTTATGTATATAAACGTGCTTATCCGTATACGTATACTTACCGATGTCATTATACGCGTACGTGAGCTTATACCTACACGTATACGCAAACGTAATCACATACGTATACTTGAACGTATACGTACACGTACGCTTATAGTGATGCTTATACTTACGCTTATATTTATACGTATAGTTATACGTATACGTATAGCCTCATTCCTCATTGTAGTTATACGTGGACGTGTGCCTACACTTATACGTACACACATATGCACACTTATAACTAATTGTATAAGTATAATTTTAAGTAGATGTATCATCGCGCGTGTACTTAAAATCTAATTTTACAAATAAACATATGTGTACGTATACGCATCATGTAAATATACCTATAAGCATCCGCGCACTCATAGTTATAATCATACATATGCGTATATGTATACCCCCTTATACGTATACGTGTACTTATACTTATACACAAACATACTCCCACGCATAAGCTTTGTGTGAGGCTGGGGACCCTGGAAAAAACGCCCCCCTACCCGCCCGAACGAATTTGGCCCACCCTGTCCTCTCGGGAGCACCCCATGAAAGCCCGAAAACGGCCCCAGAGGGCGCCAGGCGCTTTGGCGCGCCCCCGACACGACCCCAGACAGCCCAAAGAAGCCGTCATACCCCCAAAGATCGCTCCAAATCGTCCCAAGGCCTCCAAGAACATTTCCAAAAAGGCCCCGAAAGGCAAAATGTATTGATTGCCCGTCGGTTCTTGGTGAATTGTGTGGTTCTCCTCTTTTCGGCCTTCCGACGCTCCAAGAGGGCGGTCTTCTGGGTATCCGAAGCCGCCTGGGAGGCCCGAAAATCGCCCCACAGCCATCCGAAAGGGCTTCTTTCAGGCAGCCCAAGAGAGCCCCAAGACGGCACAACAGGGTAAGATGGCCCAAGAGAGCCCCATGACGGCCCAAAATGGCCCCAAGACACCCTCCGAAGCATTTCAAATCGTGATATGGTCATTCAGGGAGACCGCGGTTGGAGGCAGGGTGGTCCGAGGAAGCCCCCGAAGGCTTCCAGAAGACGCCCAGGAGGCCTCCAGAAGGCGTGAAGAAAACCTGAAAAAAAAACTTGTGCGAGGCCCCCAGAGGCTCTCCAAGGAGGAGCCTCCGCAAAAAGAGCTGAGGAGGATAAGGAAAATACGCAGGGTACGGCGAAAATGATGAAAAAACATAAGAGGAAGGACACCGAATAGCATTACTATAACGGCGATACCGGAAAAGGCAACAAGGAGTTATCGGTAAATTGTCGGCTTGACCTTCCTACCATTCTGCCATTCTGCCTGCATCCCAAACTTCAAGGCGAGGCTAGACGGTGCACCATCTGTGCAAACGAACTAGAATTCAAAACATGCAAAGAAGCCTCAGGGAGTCTGGGCTTGGCCGACGGGGAGGGCGGCAAGGCTGACCTTCCCTCGCAGCCGCTTTAGCGGTCGCACCTCCTCCCACTTGATGGCGCTTGGGGGGAGGAGGGCGCCCGCATTCCAGGTACTCGAAGCCCCTGTGCACGGAGTGGGCGTGTCTTCAGGTAAAGGCTGCAAAGAGGTAGGCGTGCTGGTGGCCTTGCATCTGCCGACGCGCCAGTGGCGCGAAGACCCCAATCCCTGGAGCCCCAGCCCTCAGTCCTGAGGAGTCTTTGAGGGCCCGGGGGCCCAGATTGCCAGGTCTCTCGGGGCCTGCCGCGGTTCCTGTGGGGCCCGTCGCGTCTCCCCGCAGGACCTCTTCGGGCCGAAGCGCGCCCCGAGACGGGCCAAGAGAGCCCCCAAGAGGCCCTCAAGACGGCCTGGAGTCGCCGAGTGGTCGCTCCAAGACGCCTTTGATGGGCCCACGACGGCCCCAAGGTTTTGCAAGACAGCCCAAGAGGCCTCCAAGAGGCCCTCCCAAGCGAGGCCCGAGAGGCCCAAATGATTGATGTGCTTTCGGTGGTTGAAAGATTTGGTCGTTCTCGCCTTTTCGGCCCAAGAGGCCTCCAAGAGGGCCCCCAAACGGGCCAGATGGGCCCCAAGACAGCCCAAGAGGTGCCCAAAACGGCCAACGAGGGCCCCAAGACGGCCCCCAAAGGAGCCCACAATAGGGAACACGAACCGAAAATCCGAGCCTTCTGCCCCAAAGGGCCCCCAGGAGGTCCCAAGAGGCACCACGGACGCCCCGAGAGGTTCCCAAGACGCCCCCCAAAGGCCCCAAGATGTTCCCAAGAGGCCCACAAGAAACCCCAATTGCCCCCCAAACAGCTCCCAAGAGGCGTTCAAACTGCCTCCGAGAGGCCCCCGAAAAACCTCCCACGAGATCCCAACGAACATCAAATAGGCTTCACACCCACAGCGCAGACACGGTTGCGGGATGGACCGAAGACCTAGATGCATAGATGTACACACATATTTACACATGTACATACATGGATGCAAACATTTCATTACATTGCCTTACATGACGTCACAATACATTATATCACGTTACAACACAATACATTACATTATACTACATGATGACACAATACATTACACAACACCGCATAGCAATACATTACACTACATCCCATGTCATCACATCACATTACGCTACAATACAGTACATTACATCACGCTGCACTGCATTACATTGCATTGCGTTGCATCGCATTGCATTGCAGTACATATCATCCCATCCCAGTCCATTTCATTATATTACATTACATCACATTACATTACATTACACTACACGACAGTACATTACATTACATACATGTATGCTCATACACAAGACCATCAACGTATACATGCATACACATAAATACAATACTACGAATGTGTACATGTATATGCATATGTATGTGTATGTGCACACGGATATGTATATGTATAAGTATGTATGTGCGGGTGTACATGTACGTGTAGGTTTACATGTACATGTACATGTACATGTACATGTGTTTGCATATGCATACGTATATGTATGGGTATACGTATATGCATACGCACATGTAATTATCAGTGGATATATACACATACGTACATATATATATATATACATGTGTGTGTATGTATATGCATATGCGTAGTACTATGTATCTATACAATGTGTGTATGTAAATGTACTGTGTAATATGTCTATATCGCTCTCTGTCTCTCTCTCTCTCTCTCTCTTTGTCACTGTCGTTGTCCCCTCTCCCTTTTCCAACTCAAGCCGTTATTCCCCACGACCCCCCCCGCTCCTCCCCACCGTCGCTCCGATTCCCCGTCCAACCCTTTCTCCGCCCCTCCCCCTCACATCCCCTCACCACTTCTGGCCTCCACATCCTCCGTTCAAGTGCTCGACCCCGAACCTGTCCAGAAACGCACTCAGACTTAGGATTTCAACACGAATCCACCCGCGACGACGAAGGCGCCGAAAACACGGCAAGCTGCCCAAAACCTCGAGCTTCGAACATTTTCGACGTCCGCTGTTTCCCGTCAGCGAAGTCCCATGACGGTGTTGTAACAAACTGTGCGGGGATCTCGAAATCCATCAAAACGTCATTGCCCAGTCACCGCACGATTTCGGGACATGGGGGGCCGGGGCCTCAAGTCCCCAAGTCGTGCGTTCACCGACAATCCCCACTGAGTCACACGACGGTGCGGTCACTGCACCGCTCTGTCGAGAAAGGCCAACTGAGACAATGGCGGGTGTCCCGCCCGGCCAAAATCTAAATAAAATCGGTACTGGGAGCCATCTGGGATTCCAGCCTGGCAAATTGTTCGATGCTGGTCCAGCCACGGCGACGGGACGCCCCCCAAACCCAGAAACGCCCAAAAAGGCAACACGAACGCCAATAAGTGCCGCCGATATTTCAGTTGGCCTACATCCACAGAACTCCGACGTCGTGATTTGTCCACAAGGTGGACGCCCAAATGGCTGGACCCTTTCCCCAAAACAGCTTTTCATCCCAGGACGGTTGCTGATGGCCCCGAAGCCCACCGAAGGCGACTTTCACACGACGGGACGAGGCTGGCGCACGGCCGACCCCGAGCTCATTACCCACCCCCCGATCCCCGCGCGGGCGGGGCACCTGGAAGAGGGTCGCGGGGCCAAGGGGGGCCGCGGGCGAGAGGCGTGGGGTCCGTCCTCGATCACGTCCCAGAAATTGCTGAAGTCCTCCGCTCTACGGGGAGCTCCTCCTCCTCCTGAATTAATTCTCCTCCTCCTCCTCCTGCCCCTCCTCCTCCTCGTCCTCCCCCTCCTCCTGAAACCAAAAGGGTTCACACTTCATCATCATCTGCGTTGTTCAAGCGAAGCGCCGCCACGAACCCGAAGACCAGCTGCGCGGACCGGTATGCCCAGCGCCGCCGCGCCCTGGACCCCGCTCGGCTGGCCGCCGCCGCTAGCTGGCCAGTTCAGCGGCCAGCGCGGCGCGGGCCGCGCGCTCGCCTTCCACGCGCCCGCCATCCAGGTCAAGCGCGCTGCGCAACTGCCGAGAGGTGGCGCGGGTCAGCGCGCAGCTCAGCTCGGCTACATATCCGCGCGCCAGTGCGCTCGCGGCCGCCTCGGCTTCTGGGCCGCCCCCCAACGACTGGGCCCTGCCCTGCGCCAGCCAGCGTAGGTGGCGGAGCGCCGCTGGCTGGGCCCAGGCGGCCCGCTGTCTGGTGGGCCAGCGGGAGCAGCGGCCACGGGACGCGCCGCTCTGGGTAGCAGCGGCGGTCGTTCGTTTCCCCTTCGGCGGCCACTGCGCCCGTCAGCGCCCGCTGCCGCCGCAACGGACCGTCACGTTCGCCAGCATCCGGGGGCAGTCGCCGCGCTGCGCATCCCGGTCGAGCAGCGCCTCCTCGCGCTCGGCCCCGAAGCGCGCGCCGCAAGTGCTAGAAAAGCAGCTGGGTGGCGCGTCCGCGAAACCGCGCGCGGCGAAGCCAGCCGCGGTACAACGCCAACGCCACCGATCCCAGGCCGGGACCAGGACTTGTTGGGCCGCACGGAAACCGCACTCGTGGCGGATGCAGCCCAACGCATCCTCGACACCCAGGCTCCGCGCCCTGGTGCCGCCACTGCCAGCGCAGCGGAAAGCGCGCCGTTCCTCCTCCTCCTCTTCTTCTTCCTCCTCCTCCTCCTCCTCCTGAGACCAAAAGGGTCCACGCTTCACCCTCACCAAAAGGGTTCACCCTCCTCCTCTTCCTCCTCCTGCACCTCCTGGTCGTCCTTGTCCTCATCCTCCTCCTCCTCCTCCTCCTCCTCCTCCTCCTCCTCCTCCTCCTCCTCCTCCTCCTCCTCCTCCTGCTCCTCCTGCTCCTCCTGCTCCTCCTCCCCCCCTCCTCCCAGTCCCTCCTCCCCCCTCCCCCTCCTTCCTTTTCCTCCTCGCTCCTCTCCGCCTCCTCCTCCTTCCTCCTCCATCCTCCCTCCTCCTCCTGCTCTTCCTCCTCCAGTGTTGCCTCTCCTCCTCCCCTGCTCCTCCTCCTCCGTTTCCTCATTATCTTCCTCATGTTTCATTCCCCTCCTCATCCTCCTCCTCCTCCCCCTCCTCCTCCTCCTCCTCCTCCTCCTGTTCCTCCTCCTCCTCCTCCTCCTCCTCCTCCTCCTCCGTCCTCCTCCTCCTTCCCTCCTCCTCTCCTCCTCCCCCTCTCAATCCCCTCCTCCTCTTCCTCCTTCCTCCTCCTCCTCCTCCTCCTCGCTGCTCCTCCTCCTCCTCCGTCCTCCTCCGTCCTCCTCCTCCTGCCTCCCTCCTCCTGCCTCCTCCTCCTCCTCCTCCTCCTCTCCTCCTCCTCCTCCTCCTCTCCCTCCTCCGCCTCCTCCTCCCTCCTCCTCCCCTCCTCCACCCTCCTGCTCCTCCTCCTCCTCCACCTCCTCCTCCTCCTTTTCCTCTCCTCCTCCTCCTCCTCCTCCTCCTCCTCCTCCTCCTCCTCCTCCGCCCTCCTCCTCCTCCTCCTCCTCCTCCTCCTCCCTCACCCATCCTCATCATTCCCCTCATCTTTCTCCTCCTCCTCCTCCGTAGCCATTTTGGCTCAAGGTTGTGAGTTCCTCAGCGGAACAAGTGGATACCGCTAGTCCGCGGCAGTACCAAGGCCTTGCGCCTGACAGCTTTTGCCAATACTGCACGGGCTTCTGGTAGCCCATTCTCGTGTGCTCCTAACGGAGCCAGTTGCTACGACGCCGCGATGGTCCCCGCCCCGTGGCACTTCCCCGACGATGCGGAAGACACCTGGACGAGGCAGCCCTGGGTCCGAGTGCCGCCTGGGGGTGCCAAGGCTGGGCACACGCGTGGTGCTCGCTTGTACACTGTGTGCGCCTGTGGTCATTGGACGTGGAATGACCTCCTGGCCAAGCGGCGCAACCTCTGTGTCGGATGTCAGTCCCAGTGTCACCCTCCCAGCCCATCTGGCGTCGGCGGCCAGGTGCTGTCGTACGCAGGCGCTAATGAATCTGGATGGGGTGATGGTGGCGGCAAGTCCAAGGGGCGCTGGCGCAAAGGTACGCAGGCGCTGCAGCTGCAGTGTGGGACCTCTGAAGCCATCCCTCCTCAAGCTCTTGCGGCTGTCAAGGAAGCTGCCTCGCACCTTGCGCCTGAAATGGCCCAGAAGTTGCTCTCCCAGTTCGTGCCCAAGCCGCCGCCCCCAGCCCCAGGCGACGCCTCAGGCCGAGCGGCAGCGTGCCTCGCAGGCCAAGAAGGCCTCCCAGGAGAAGCTCGACAAGGCCCTGGCCCGCCGTGCGGTGCTCGACAAGGAGGCCAGTGACCTTGACAAGCTCCTGGACGAGCTCATGGCCAAGGACATGGAGAACGCTGAAATTCTTGAGCAAGCCACTCGTACGCGGGCCGTCGGTGTGCTTAAGGATGTTGAGCCTGCTCCCGTCAAGAATGTCATTTCTCTCGATGACCTCTTCAAGGACTCAGCTGAGGAGATCAAGCTCGATTTTGGGGAGGAGTTGGGCGTCTCGGGGCCTGCCTTCTCGGCTGAGGACCGCGAGGGCTTTGAAAAGTTCAAGGTTGAGCAGTCGCAGCAGGGCAAGACCCTCTTGCATGAGGCGCTCAAGAGCGTTAAGTCCCAATACAAGGAGCACCAGCAGGAGTACCAGAAGCGCATGGGCGAGCTGCGTAAGAAGCGCAAGACTACGGACGGGTCAGTTGGCGCTGCGGCTCCCCCAGTCGCGGCTAGCCAGGGTGCAGCTTCATCACAGGTGCCTGCGGCCGAGGAGGCTAAGGCTGTGCCCATTGGTGCCACCTCAGCCGAGCCGACCGACAAGGGGAAGAAGATCGCGAAGGCGCGCTCTGACACCATCGCACGGGCCAAGGCTGCTGCGGCTCGGGCCAAGGTTGAGGCTCGCGAGCCTAGCTCCTAGCTCTGCTAAAGGTGGTCACGGGTGTGACAGCGATTCTACCTGCAGCTCGGCTTCTGGTACCTTCTCAAGATCGGCCTCTTCAGTTTCTCTCTCTTCGGCACCGTCCACTTCGACGGCTGGCGTTTCTTCTACCTCGGCCCCGTTTGTGGCGACCTCTTCTGGCGCTTCCTTGTCTTCTTCGATTTCGTGCGTTGGGCGCTCACTCACCGTGCCTGCGAAGGCAATGACCCCGCGGAAGGCACCTGCTGCAGGTTGGCTCAGCCAAGACCTCAGTACGGCATCCCGCGGCGCGTGTCTTGCTGGAGGCGCGGCAGACGACGCCACATGTGCTTGCTGTGCGGATTCCTCTTCGGCGGCGGCATCTGCTGGATCGGGTTCGGCTTCTACCGAGGCCATCGTCGCCACTGGTGGTTCTCCTGCATGTGCTGTTGGGAATCCTGTTTCGCCTGGTGTACTCGTTGCTGGGCCGACCACGCCAGCTATGACTGCGGGGTTGGACCAATCTACCTGTGGTGAACCGAGCGGGCCGGACGGCGACCAAGTATTGCAGCTCGATGATGAGGGTCATGGCTCTGTGCCCAACCCAGACAGTGGCTGCGGCACCGCCCCTCAGCGCTCTTTGTCCATTGCCTATTCCAACATCAGCGTGTGGGGCCCCACTGCGTGCAGATGGGTTGCTGGGTGCTCGGCGGATATCATCATTTCCGTTGAGCACAGGATGCGCGGCTCCAAGTTCCAGGCGATGGTCAAGAAGCTACATAAGCTGGGCGGGAAAGTTGTGGCGCAGGCCGCTGAGCCCACGCTTGCTGATGATGCATCGTCGGGTGTCCTTGTGGCTACCCGCTCGCATTTTGGGCTCTCGCAATTGACTTGTGAGGCGGGTGAATGGACTACCGTTGGTACGGCTCGGTGGCTACTGTGCACTCTGAGGCTTCGGAAGGTCTCCCTGACCATCGCCCCTGTCTACCTGGTCACGGGGGGTGAGCTCAACGGTCAGAACCTCGAGCTGCTGGCAGACCTCGGCGCCCATCTGAGTGCGGCAGGTGTTCCCGCCCTCGTGGCGGGTGACTGGCAGGTTGACCTGAGTGTTCTCGAGGAGCCAGGTTGGCTGGAGCCCCTCGGCCTCGCCCCTGTTCCTATGCCTGGCGTTTCGGTTACGTGCTCTGGAGTCACCACCAGTCGGATCGATCACGCTTTTGTCTCCGCTTGCTTTTCTAGCGCCGTCCAGTTTAGGTCGCTCATTCCAGTGCCTTGGGGCACGCATGCTGCTATGGGTTTTTTGGTCTCGGCGTCTCCCAGGGCCATCAAGGTTTGGAAGGCCATGCGACCTAAACCTCTGCCTGTCAAAGGCGTTGTTGCCCCTGTAGAAGCCTGGCCGCACTTATTGGTGCAGGCTCTGCTGCTGCAACGTGAGCGGTCAGGCTTTTTCACGGCCAACTACGCTGCTGCCAGCTTCCTTAAGCTTGAGCATGACAACATTCAGGTCCCCCTCGATTTAGGGGCCCAGTTGTCTACTTGGATGGTTGCTCTTGAGCTGGAGGCGCTTTCGAAGCTTGGCTTGGCTCAGGACCAGGTTTTCCAATACATTGGTCGTTGCCAGGAGCCCAGGTTGCGTTGGGTGCCCCTCTTGGCCGCCCAGGCTGAGGGGCCCTGCCAGGCCGATCGTGACGCCCGTTTCTGGCAGGCCGCCTTTGTCAAGCTTAAACTGTTGCTCAAGCTTGTCCCTCAGGATTCCATTGATGACATCCCGCCGCAGCCTCACCGAAAGCACGCTGCCCAATTTCGTGCCACTCTGGCTTGGCTTTCTCAGCAGGTGCCCCCCTCCCCGTCGG